GGCCCGGCCCCGCCTGCCCCGCCGCGCTGTCTGCAGGCCGGGGTGGGGGGGGCAGCATGGCTTGCCCCACACTAAATGCGTGTGTGTGTGTGTGTGTGTGTGTGGTGGGGGGGGTGTTAAATGTGTGTATTAAAGACATATGTATGTGAGTATGTGTGTGTGTGTATCTGAGTATGTGTGAGTTGTGTGTTAAATATGGGTGTTAAATGTGCACGTGTGTTACATACGTGTGTGTAGGTGTTAAATACCTGTTTGTGTGTGAGTATATGAGGGGGGGTGTTAAATGTGTGTGCTAAAGACATATGTGTGTGTGTTAAGTGTGTGTTAAATAAATGTGTGTGCATCTGTCTGTTAAATGTGTGTGTGTTAAATACATATATGTGTATATGTGAGTCTAGGGGGGGTGTTAAATGTGTGTGTGTTATATACACGTGTGTGTTAAATACAAGTTTGTGTATGTGTATTACATGTGTGTGTATTAAATACATATGTATGTATGTGAGTCTAGGTGTGTGTGTTAAATGTGGGTCAAGTGTGTTTATGTGTGTTAAATACATGTGTGTGTATCTGAGTGTGTTAAATATGTGTCAAATACATGTTTGTATGTGAGTATATGTGTGTATGTTAAATGTGTCTGTGTTAAGTGCGTATGCATGTGTTAAATACGTGTGTGTGCGTGCACGCACGTATATGTTAGGGTGACCACCTTTTCAAAATGAAAAAGGACACATGAAGCTGGCAGCCAGGCAGGGGGGTCGTCTGGCTACTGCTGGTGCTGGGCTGGGCACTCTCTCCCTCCATCGCTATCTTCACGCTGAACCGGGACATCTGGGAGAAATGCTGTCCTGGAGGTTAAGAACGGGGGTGAATATGGGTGAATTCTTCTTAGGAAATCTCGAAGGTACATTCCTGCCACCAGGCTAAGTCCCCCCCACCTCCCCTCCACCATTACATGTCCAGATCTTGCTCCAAAGCACTGAACCCTGTGATATTCCCAGGAAAATAGTTATAAACAGATGCATGTTTAAAACTATATAAACCCTTCCTTTGCATAGGCTCGGTGGAAAGGTAGAGTCCATCAGCTCAGGTCTGAAGACTCTCAGCAGCTCTCAACATACTTAGATCCAAGGCACCCCACATTAGACTCAAGGCACCATGGGAAAATGCCAGCTCTTAGTTTTTCACTTGGTTGGGTTTTTTTTGACAACAGAAAAATAACAGAGCAGTTCTTTGTGCTAAGAGCTCAGACTGCAATAGGTCTTGCCATCCCTGGGTTTATCTGGTCAATCGTGTTTGCACACCTAGATTATATGAATCTATGAATCTAGGTGTGCAAACGCTATTCACAAGATAACCCCTAATGGTGCTAAGAATGTGGGGCACTCCACAACACTCTTAAGGATTTCAAGGCACACCTGTTAAGCATCACTGCTCTGTCTGGAGTGAACAGGCTTCATTATCCTCCAGCTCCTCCATGTTGTTGGACTTCACCTCATCCCCCTGAGCCTGCTCCAACGTGCAGCTGCAGGAGCTGAGCAAGACCTTCCCTGAGTTTGCTGCCCTTAGTTACTGAGGCCCACTCTAGGATACCTGAACGTGAACTTGTGAGCAGAGAAGAGACTCTCTCCAGTGCTTTCAGTGCTCCCCCTGCTGGCATCCTAGTACTGTGGAGGTGAAGGAAAAACAATCTGAATCTGTATGCAAGGTTGAGAAAAAGTGGGGGAGATGCTGCTGGGGTGGGGGGCAGAGGCAGGAGATCAGGGGGTTGCAAGAGAGAACATAAACCTGGTTGAGGTAAGTGCTATGAAGACCAGGGAGAGGAGGATAAGGGTAGGAGCATAGGAGGGATAACAGGCAGTGCTTGGGTATTAGAACAAGAGAAGGGCAGAAGGGCAGAAGCCATGGACAACAGTAGGTACAGTGGGAAAGAGCATGATGAGTATAGGACTAGAGGGCAGGAGTGTGACAGGCCAGCATTTTACAGAGGAATGAAACTTTGGAACAGCCTCAAGCCCTCAAAGAACATACTGTTCCTTCAAACATTATGTTCCTTGAGGACAAGGCTGTTTCAGTGGTTGTGTAGATGTGTCAGTTAAGATATATTTCAAAAGTGATGCTGTTGGAGTCATGGGCCAGCTAAGAAGTATGGGGCCGGTCTGTGGGCCTGATTGGACCCTGGGGGCCAGGATCAGCCCTGTGCTATGGGATCTGGGCACCATGCCCCAAGATGTAGGTTCTGCACCACCTTCCTGGGTTCCAGTTGCCTCCAGTAGGGCCCCGCACCACCTCTAGCTAACCCCCTGTGTGCCTGGATCAGGCACCAGGCTACCTCTGTGTGCTGATCTAGAGTGCTTTTCATCTAGCAGGGCTCCCCACAGGTCCAGAAATTTGGCAGCAGAGGAGTGGCAGTTGCTGCCACCACTGCCAAATTTTCAGACATGTAGGGACCTCAGTAGGCTGGATTTGGCCCTTGGGGTTGGGGTCAAGCATCCCTAATTTACAGTCAGTCAAAGCTTGTTGCTTAGGCAGGGTACACATGCAGAAGCAATGTGGTGCAGAACTCTTTAGCATGCATACTATACAGCATACTCTTCAAAAGTTAAGCCTTAGGTAAGGAGTGGTATGTCCTGGCTACTTTAGAGAGGTTATTGGTCGGGGAATATGTCAGGGAAATCTGACAAGGGTTGTAATATTTACATATTTCCAAATTTAAATAACTTTTTCAAATTAAGAGATAATTGCACCATCTGAGATTGTAGTCTTCTCTTCAAAAGTGTCTTCTTAAAAATATAAATATATAGTGTTATGAAGTTTGATCTAATTTATTTTCATAACTTTTCTAAAAAAACCCACCAAATTTACACTGAAGACTTTTATACATTTTTAAAGCTTTTGAATAAGGAACTGGGAACAAAGAACCACCTATGATCATGAGATTTTGTCTGTAGGTGATATCCTGAACTGACCCATGTCAGTTGAAAGGATTTCACTCTTGTTTTCTGTCCTGAAATGAGTTCCTTGATTTAATTGTATGTAATTAATTTCCAAGAGTTTTCACTAAAGAGTTGATGTATTCCAAAAGATATTTGTGAGGGAGAATATAAACATCAAGCATACACTATGAGCAAAGTTCTCATTAAGCATCTCTGTGTTTCTCCTGGTTGTGCCTGGGTGCTTGGTTTGCCTAGCCTTAGTATATACCCCTGAGACCCACGCTCAAAAATTTTTGCTGCTTTTGCAACCTGTCAAGATTTCTGCTGCACAAGCACACAAGTAACAAAGATGCTAACTCAGGTTTTGGAAGCTGACCCCCAACTGAAAAATGGAGAGCAAAACAGACACACAAGCAGAATCAAGAGGGTGAATATGCTATTGACTTATTTGCTTTACGAGTTCAAGCATGCAGTTCTTGACTTTGGTACTGAGGCTACTGTTATCATGATTTGCAAGTGCAAATTCCAGCAGTGCTTGGATTCTTAATGACAGTGATTGATAAAAGTGTTCATTTCTGTTAGGCTCAATGTGTGACTCTTCACAATGGTGAGTAAATTTACAAAAATTGTGAATATGTATAGCCCTAGTTAAATCGCAGTGAGAATAAACAATTTTTGTGGGTTGGTCATGGCATAAAGAACAAATTTCACAGCAAATTCACCTGGACAAGGGAGAAGAGATTGATGTCATATATCTTGACTTCAGAAAAGCCTTCGATCTTGTATCCCATGATCACCTCTTGGCAAAACTGGCCAATTGTGGCCTTGGGTCCACCACAATCTGCTGGCTGGGAAACTGGCTCCGTGGTCGGACCCGGAGGGTGGTAATTGACGGAAGTCAATTGTCATGGTGCCCTGTGACCAGTGGGGTCCCCCAAGGCTCTGTCCTTGAACCCATATTGTTCAACATCTTCACTAATGATGTGGACATTGGAGTCAGAAGTGGACTGGCCAAGTTCACCGATGACACCAAACTTTGGGGCAAAGCATCCACACCTGAAGATAGGAGGGCAGTCCAGGCTGACCTGAACAGGCTCAGCAAATGGGCGGACGAGAACCTGAAGGTGTTTAACACTGAAAAATGCAAGGTTCTCCACCTTGGGAGGAAAACCTGCAGCATACTTATAGGCTTGGCAGAGATACACTGGCTAGCACTACAAAAGAAAGAGACTTGGGGGTCATCATTGACCACAAGATGAACATGAGCCTTCAATGTGAAGCAACCAAAACGCTGGCTTGCATCCATAGATGCTTCTCAAGCAAATCCCGGGACATCATTCTCCCCTTGTACTCAGCCTTGGTGAGGCCACAGCTGGAGTACTGCATCCAGTTTTGGGCCCCACAGTTCAAAAAGGATGTGGAGAAGCTTGAGAGAGTCCAGAGAAGAGCCACGCGCATGATCAGAGGTCAGGAAAACAGACCTTACAACAACAGGCTGAGAGCTATGGGGCTCTTTAGCCTGGAAAAGCGCAGGCTCAGGGGTGATCTGATGGCCACCTATAAGTTTATTAGGGGTAACCACCAGTATTTGGGGGAACGTTTGTTCACCAGAGTGCCATAAGGGATGACGGGGTCGAGCAGTTATAAACTACTGCAAGACCATTTCAGGCTGAACATAAGGAAGAATTTCTTTACTGTCCGAGCCCCCAAGGTCTGGAATAGCCTGCCATTGAACACCTTCAAGAGAAAATTGGATGCTTATCTTGCTGGGATCCTATGACCCCAGCTGACTTCCTGCCCTTCGGGTTGGGGGCTGGACTCGATGATCTTCCGAGGTCCCTTCTAGCCCTAATGTCTATGAAATCTATGAAATCTAATGCATTAGGTGTCCTTAAATTCTGCCTTTAAGAGTGGCTATGTCTTTCCAGTATGCCTAGTTTGTGGATCATGTTTGCACTTGCAAATGAAGTCAGTGGCAAGTGCCATAGCAAGAAAGTT